CTATTGCTCACATCTGTGGCATCACTTTACATGCTCTCCTGTTCATGTTATCCTTATCCTCAGAATATTTCTACTCTTCTGCTCTTATCCATATTATACCCATCTTTCAAAGCCTAGGTTATATCTCATCTGCTCTATGATCTCTTCTCCAAATAATTGATCCCGTGTGTACTTATCTTTAGTGCTAGGCAATTAGCACTTAATTATTCCTGTTTCATGCATATTAGACTGTAAGCTTTGTGACAGCGAAGAATGCAGTCCTCACAGTGTGTGATCTTAGGCTAAGGCACTCAACAAATATTTGACTGCTCATTGTGAAATGTGTGTGTTAAACATAGTCCTTGAATTTCATTAGCTTGTGACATATTTCGTGTTGCGGTCTGATTTCAGATCCAAATTAGATTCAGATCCAAACAATATTCAGAGAAATTAAAGGATACCTACATAAGTGGAAAGACATCCCATGTTCTTGGCTTGGTTGTGGTCTGATTTCAGATCCAAATTAGATTCAGATCCAAACAGTATTCAATGAAATTAAAGGATACCTACATAAGTGGAAAGACATCCAATGTTCTTGGCTTGGAAGAATTAATATTCTTAAGATGTCAGTGCTCCCTATACTGATCAACAGATTCAGTGCAATCCCTGTCAAAATCCCAGCTGGCATTTTTGCAGATAATGGCAAAATATAGGTGGAAGCAGCAAGTTTTGTTGGATATAATGATCCATCAAAGAAGCATAACAGACCACTGACTGTCTTAGAAAGAAAAGGAATTCAGCATGATTTTTCTGTTTTTTTTCTATCTTAAGTTCCTCTGAAAAACCGTTATTTGCAGTGACAGAGATGCTTCACAGTCCTTATTCTTCCTGGAAAAAAGTGAATAAGTGTTATAGGAGTTTTGAAAGTATTGTCTTCAGTGAGTTCTGTATGTGTGTATTTGGGTAAGGGTTTATGTAATGGCTATTTTAGAAGTCATCCCGATATGGCAGAATTTCAAAACAATTTGGAAATGAAAAACAACAAACACACTGATCTAAATTTTCTAATTCCATGTGGCTTGTATCTGAAGAGGACATTGATAATGTAATCACAACTTCTGTCTTTATATTTCATAACCTTCTCTCTGGGAGATGTGTAACTTATTTGAATTTTGTAGTGGTAGGCTTACAAGCTGGTGACATCAAATAATACAGAAATAGTAAATGTCCAAATGGGCGCTTCTGCTCTACAGTATAGTATGTTCCCTTCTGCTATTCTCCTTTCTTTCTTTTCAGTGACTATATGTGTTTTCTATTTATTTTCAGATAGCAGTACAAATTGACATAACATGTCTGCTTAACAAAATTTAGCTTTAAGTTTGTCATTAGGCCAGGATATCATTAAATGGAAAAAGCAAAAGAGATCATGGATCCTGACTTGCCTCAGATTTCAAGTGTCAGAGTATTGAAGTAATAGACATTATAGGTACTATTTTGAGGACACTGGTTAAAAAACAAAAAAATTCGAAATGCGTATTTGTAAGGTTGTGGTAAATAAGTGTAAAATATAAAAGTTAAAAAGTTTTTAAGTTAAATTTATTTATTTATTTATTTATTTATTTATTTATGGCTGTGTTGGGTCTTCGTTTCTGTGTGAGGGCTTTCTCCAGTTGCAGCAAGCGGGGGCCACTCTTTATTGCAGTGTGTGGGCCTTTCACTATCGTGGCCTCTCTTGTTGTGGGCCATAGGCTCCAGACGCGCAGGCTCAGTAGTTGTGGCTCACGGGCCCAGTTGCTCCGCAGCATGTGGGATCTTCCCAGACCAGGGCTCGAACCCGTGTCCCCTGCATTGGCAGGCAGATTCCCAACCGCTGCGCCACCAGGGAAGCCCCTAGATTGAATTTTTGAAGCAAAAAATGTACAAAAGAAACAAATTCATAAAGTGGAATTTATGAAAAAATATTTTGCTTGTTAAAAGATCTGTAAGAGAAGAAAGAGACAAGTCGCAGCAGGGTAGAAAATATTTAAGAATCATGTATCTTATAAAAGGTTTATATCCAGAATATATAAAGAACTTTTGAAATATGGGAGTAAGATCCATAAATGATTTCTTACATTTATAGTTGTTTGATTTTCAGCAAGGGTACCAGGCCAGTCCATTGGTGTGGGAAAGAATATCTTTTCAACAAATGATGCTGGAACAAGTGGATATTCAACATTCAAAAGAATGAAGTTGAACCCCTACCTCACACCATTTATAAAAATTAATTCAAAATTGGTCAGAGAGGGCTTCCCTGGTGACGCAGTGGTTGAGAGTCCACCTGCCGATGCAGGGGACGCGTGTTTGTGCCCCGGTCCGGGAGGATCTCACATGCCACGGAGCGGCTGGGCCCGTGAGCTGTGGCCGCTGGGCCTGCGTGTCTGGAGCCTGTGCTCCACAATGGGAGAGGCCACAACAGTGAGAGGCCCACGTACCGCAAAAAAAAAAAAAAAAAAAAAAAAAAAAATTGGTCAGAGACCTAAATGTTAGAGCTAAAAATATATAAAACTCTTAGAAGAAAACATAGCTCTAAATCTTTGTGTCCTTGGACTGGGCAGTGGTTTCTTAGATATGACAACAAAAGAATAAGCAACTAAAGAAAATATAAAGAGTTCATCAAAATTAAAAACTTTTATGTTTCAAAGCATACCATGAAGAAAGTGAAAGATGACACATGGAATGGGAGAAAATATTTATAAATCATGTATTTGATAAGGGACTTATGTTCTGAGAATATAATTAGCTGTTACAACTGAACAATAAAAAGATAACTCAATTTTGGGTAAACATTTTGGATAGACAGTTCTCCAAAGAAGGTATACAAATTACCAAAATGCACTTGAAAAAGATGTTTAACATCATTAGTCATTAGTAAAATGCAAATCAAAAATACAGTGAGATACCACTTCACACCCACTAGGATAGATAAAATAAAAAAGATAGACCATAACAAATATTGTTGAGGATGTGGAGAATTTGGAGCGTTCATACACTGGTGCAGCCACAGTTTAGCAGTTCCTCAAAAGGTTAAATATAGACCCAACAGTTCCACTCCTAGGTGTATATACCCAAGAAAATTGAAAGCACAAGTCCACATAAAAACCTGTGCACTAATGTTCATAGAATCATTATTCATAGTAGCCTGTTAAAACAACCCAAATATTCATCAACTGGTATAAATGTGGTATATCCATACATTGGAATATTATTCAACCAGTTAAAGGACTGAACTATTGATACTTGGTAACATGGATGAACCTTGAAAACATAATAAGTGAAAGAAACACTCACAAAAGGCTACACTGTATGATTTCATTTATATGTAATATCCAGAATAGGCAAATCTACAGAAACAGAAAAGATTCCTGTATCAAAAGCCGATGGGTGGGGCAAAGGAAGAGTGACTACTAATGGGTATGGGCTTTCTTTTTGGGTGATGAAAATGTTCTGAAATTAGATAGTGATCATAGTATATGATTCTACTCTGTAGAATATACTAAACACCATGGAATTGTACATTTTAAAAGGGTGAATTTTATGGTATATGAATTATATCTCAGCAAAAATATTAACCCAGTTTTTAAAATTGGCAAAAGCTTTACATAGGTACTTTACCAAAGACAATATATGGATGACAAATAAGTACATGAACAATAACAACAACAAGCTAAACATTTTTGACCATTAGAGAAATCCAAATAAAAGCCAGAATAGCTAAAATCAAAAAGAGTAACAATACCAAATTCTGGTGTGGATGCAGAAGAACTGGAACTGCCATACTTTGCTGGTGGGAGTATGAAATCAGCTACTTTGTCAAACTGTTTGGCATTTTCTCATAACCTTAAACATACAATTATTATGTCTATGCAAACATTCATTTACTATGATCAGCAACTCCATTCCTAGATTGTTTATATGTTTTTTAAAAACTTACATTCATACAAAAACCTGTTCAAAAATGTTTATAGCAGCTTTATTTGTAATAACCAAAAGTTGGAAACAAGTCAAATGTCCTTTCTCCAATGACTGGGTAAACAAACTGAAGTACTTCCATACAATGTGATCATACTCAGGAATAAAAAGGAAAGAATTGATACATGTAGGAAAATGTAGAGTGGATGAATCTCAGATGCTTATTGGCAAGTGAAAGAAGCAAGACAATACTGTACATACTTTGTGATTTCATTTATAGGATGTTCCGGAAAATGCAAAGCCATGGAGAGGGAGAAAAGATAAGTGCATGAGAGGAATTTGGCTTATTGGTGAGAGCAGAGTAATTACTCTCACTGCAGATCGGATTTTATTTCACAGAGCTTGTTTTTCCTGGTTGTTAATGAGCCATAATGCCTATTCTTTTTTTTTTTTTGGTATTAATACCATCATAAAATAAAGCGTTGATTTATGTTTTTTAATTTTATGGTGGGGAGTGGTACATTTTGGGAGTAAGGCAATGTTTTTGCCTATTGACTTTTGTCAGTCTCACCCTATGTCTACTGTGGTGCATTCTATGGATACACATCCTTATGACTCATGTTTCTTCTGCTCTCTGAGCCTTTGCAGGTTGCCATGGCTGGAATATTCTCCCCACTTACTCTCAAGCTTGTTTAGGGAAATGTTCCATGCTTCCTCTAGACTAATTTAGATCTTGCCATTTTATTTTCTTTTACTATCCTATATTTCTTTATAGCACCATAAAATTATAATTAAGTTTTATACCAATTATTTGTATAACCATGTAACATCTATCCAATCCTGTATCCTCCAACCCTCCATCCTCAAACACTACAGTCTCTGTTTATAATCAATGCACATTTGGTATTACCAGAGTCCTTTGTTTTTCTTCCATCCATATAGCCATGATTCTTTTAGAATCCCTTCTGCCTTTAATAACTTTCTTAAAAGATTAGTGGAGTCAGTGCAAATCCTATCAGAGAAGGAAACTTCGCTTGGTGATGCTTTTCTTTTCTTTTTTCTCTTTGTAGGGAAACTCAACAGCCAAGACTCCTACAATAATTTTGCCAACAACAACCCTGGCAACCCCCGGCTTTCTCCTCTCCCCAGCCTGATGGTATTGATGCCTCTTGCACAAATCAAGCAGCCAATGACATTGGGAACCATCACCAAACGAACAGGGTAAGGCCTCAGGCTTGATGCTTTTTTAGTAGCTGTTTTAGAGGATTAAATACACAAAAATAAAACATACTTTTTCTTTGGGTGGTTTTGATTATGTTCTTCATTTACAGCCCACATGAGACTTAATGGCAGCAGATTAAATACAAAATATAGAACATACACAAACACATTCATACATAGCCATGTACACACACATTCACAGAAAAAACAAAGCAGTGACAAGTTGTGAAAACTAGTATTGGCTAATAAAAACCAGATCCATTTACTCAGGCTTATAGTTGCTGCCTTGTGGCTTTGTCTGAAAGTAGTGCAGTTGCATTTTCTTGCTTTTGTGGACATGATCTGGATTTATAATGACCCCCAAATTTTGACTGACACCAATACTAGGGAGAGAACTTAATATGACAACCATGTTTCTAATACTTTAAAAAAAAATCATCTACATTGAGGTACAATTTACATATAATAATCTATTGTTAGTATCAGGACAATGTGATATTATGGATAGTTTTCAAAATCCAGAGTCCTAAGGTTTAGGCTTTACTCAGATTGGTCCTTAACATCCTCAGAGACTCTTGATGACTCACTTGATATCTTTGTGCTTATTTTAGCTATTTAAAAATTTTTCAAATTCCTACCTGTTAGGAATATAAAATTATCACTTCTTTGGGTTCCTGAAAATAAAGTGCTGTGTCTAAGATATAAGATTATTAGATATTCAATTGTATAACAACTGTGAAACTCCATTATGTTCCCCAAAATATATATGTCTATAGCCAAATTACCTATTTTCATCAATAAGCAGTCCTGAGGTTTAGCCTAATTTGAAATGGAACAACTGTCTTAAAATTCTGTATTTGGTAGTCAAGAGAAAACTCCATCTTGGCTTCAAATAGTCTTCAAGGTCTTTCCAATAAGAGGAATAGACTTAATTATGTGGCTGCTGTATCATTATGTTTTAATATTGTTGTGCTAGGTGGTGAAGTGTTTACAGAAGCTGCTTTTGTAAGAAGAAATACTCATTCTCCAGGATGAGGCCTTTTAGCTCCAGATTTCACCATTACACTGAAATTGACCCTCTACATAGTGGAGTTGTGTTTGCCTATAAATTCCTGTTTCTGAATGCAGAAATTGAGGTTGTGGTGTATTAAGGGAAAAATACAGCAAACCGAGCTCCCAAATCAGACATCTTATGATACAAATCATTTGCCTGTATTTTTAAAAATTGATTATCAGCTTTTTAACTCTTCATTAGTAGTGTAATTTAAATAGAATTTTTACCTCCCTTTCCTCTTATTTAGTTTCTTTATTTTAAAATAAGTTAAATAAGAGTGGCTATGGATAGTAAAGGGGTTATGAACTTATATTTACAGGTGGCTCATTGTTTTCTTTGTGTAATGATACATTTCTGGGATGTAGAATCAAATAAAAATGAGACTAAATCTTGAATCATAATCTTAAAAGTTATTTTTTCACTCACAGAAGTCAGTCAGTACATAAATATACCTTCTTGATCCAACCCAGCATTGTAGAATTCTACAAAGTGTTTGTCAGTCTTTCCTGAATCTAAGAATCTAACCTCAAAATTGTTCCTCTTGATTTTAATTTTACCACTAAGATCCTAAATGAAGTTCTATGCCTGAAATCACGTGATCTTAGAGTTTAATTCAAAATATTTGTGGGGAGGTTGAAAAGTGAGTTTACTTCTGTATATATTTGAAACTTTCCATAATAAAAAGATAAACTGTATCACACACTCTTTCACTGTCTCTCTTGCTACTCTTTCTCTCTGTCTTTAGTTGGGTAGAAACTATTAATCATCTGGTGTCTTCCTGTACTACCATACTTTATGAACTTAGATAACTTCTGTGTTTCCTTTTCTTGTTAAAAACTTGGTCACAGGGCTTCCCTGGTGGCGCAGTGGTTGAGAGTCTGCCTGCCGATGCAGGGGACGCGGGTTCGTGCCCCGGTCTGGGAGGATCCCACATGCCACGGAGTGGCTGGGCCAGTGAGCCATGGCTGCAGAGCCTGTGCGTCCGGAGCCTGTGCTCCGCAGCAGGAGAGGCAAAAAATTAAAAAAACTTGGTCACAATTCCTAGATTTTCAGAGCACGTGTATTATGTTCCCTTATATTCTAGACAGTTTAATAATTATTTATTAATGAATTAAGTGATAGGAATTTGAATTGTGTGCTTTGAAATTAATATTAGTTCAAGATACATGTATCTTATTAGTTACTGGGCTTTTTTTTTTAAACATCTTTATTAGAGTATAATTGCTTTACAATGGTGTGTTAGTTTCAGCTTTATAACAAAGTGAATCAACTATACATACACATATATCCCCATATCTCCTCCCTCTTTACTGGGCTTTTTATCTCAGATCTCATACCATTTTATTTTTTCCAAATTTTTGAATTCTTTTTGGCATGTCCCCTATCTTGGAGTGTTTAGAAGGAATAATTACTGCTTGTCCCACAGTGAGTCCTTGGCTTTTAAATTTTAAACATTTTGATAGAGATTCATTCAAACTTACCAAAAAAAGTTACAAGACCAGTAAAAGGAATTCCTGTATACCCACATTTCCCAAATGTTAGCAGTTTAACATATTTGCCTTATCATTTATCTTTTCTCACTCGGCACATACATACACACATGCACACACACATCCACCAAAAGCTCATTTTATTAGTATTTTTTTCTTCTATATGGTTGTTTTCTGTAATGAATTCTCTACTATGGCAGAGCTTTAGTGCTCCATAAATTACCCCACCCACTCTTCTTTTTTTCCCTCCCCTCCTACTATTCTTTTTTCCCCTTCCTATTAACAAAGATTACAGTGACCAAAAACACCTTGATGATAGTATTCATAACTTATGCTTGCCTATGGCTAGGTTACAAGACTTAATACCCTTAAGCCATTTTCTGAAGGGTTTGTTGATTATATTTAGAAATTGCTATTGTGACTTTACTTATAATTCTTATAGTACTACTGTAAGTCACCCAAACATTTGGTCATAGAATTTTTAGAATATAGTTTGTGGTTTTATTATCTTAACATTTAGCATTTTCATTGAAATACATGTATTTTGCCTAACCAAAAGTAATGTTTTTGGGGGGAGAGTAAGATATATTCCCTAAATTTCCATTTTTGACATATGCTGAGATTTGAAGCACATCCCAGATATTTTTATATCATTAGATTTCTCCCATTAGATAGTAAGGTTATATTTATGTCATTTTTATTAAGAAAAAAAATTTTTTTTACTGTGACCAGTTCGCAAGCTGCCTTTAGCTCACTTGCGTTATTTCCATCAAATTTTATATATTCACTGAGAATTTTGATTGCCACATTAAGGTCACCAGAGTGAGGAGCAAACAGGCTTTTAATTTTCCAGGTCATTGTGGAAATCCTGATTTACTCTGTGCTTCAGTGAAATGCCTTTCCTAACATTTTAAAGATAAAATTAACAGAAGTATTTGACATGAATTATGTAGAAAGAGAACACAGAGCTGACTCATTTATAGACATGTAAGTTCAAATATACCTGGTAATATATCTAGTAAAATATATATTATTTGTTCCATGTCCTAGATATTTGGCATAATGGCATGAAATAAACATTAAAAATCATATTTCTAGCATAGAGATTTCCAAGGATTGCTTAGGATCCTATATTTAAATAAGCAAATTTAGATGGAAGCCTTAATTCAGACCTTCAGGGGATAGACGTGTACTTACCGTGTTTCATGTCTGCCCTCTTATTTTTGGAAATATAGATCCCTGAAAGCCTGTGCAGTGTCAGGGACCATCTGTCTTATTCGAAGACATTTGCAAGGCCAGTAGAACTACAAATGGCAAAAGACAGATGTATTTGCACCTTCACATTCTGCACCTTGAAGCAGCACTGGGAGGAAATAAGGCCTGTTTTGGCAACAGCTGTTGCTTAACCCGATTGTAGTACACACTGGTGAAGGCAAAAGACGTGCTAAGAATCTTTTGGTTTAACAGTCACTCATTCAAACAAAACCCATTTCTTCCAGTCTGAGACTGGAGGATTGGAAGGACCTCCATCATGTTTTTATCATGTGTGAATAAGTGTAGTTTTCATCTATTAAAAGTGAAACTGGGTGCTAAGGGATTGCTCATTGTTTTGGAGTGTAAAGTTTTTGTAGTAGGGATTTACTAAGCAATAGTCCATAGATGTTTGGTTGTGTTAATTTTTAATGCTTCCTGTGTAAAAACTTACTAAATAGATAATTTTTCATCAATATGTTTAATTTTTTGTACATCAAATCTAAAATTATTAACATATACACGTCATTTTGTGGGCACAAGCAGGGAACAGTACATTTCAAAAAGTGGTCAGGGGACTTCCTTGGTGGTGCAGTGGTTAAGAATCCGCCTGCCAATGCAGGGGACATGGGTTCGAGAGCCAACACAGCCATACATACATACATAAATATAAATAAATAATTAATTAATAAAAAGAACAGTATATGTGGAATGTGCAAAAAAAGAGTGGTCAGAGTAATTTCATGGGAATAAAAATATAGAAATTGGGAATGAAGTTACTTCCTTGCCCTTAACTAGCTGAGGTTTTTGGTGAAGTAAACCTGGTATGACTTGTTGTCTTTCATAGGTTTCCTTTTTCTTAAATCGAGCAGCTTTTTGCTCCTTCTTCCCTCCCCCCCATTTTTGTATTTATTCATTTCTGTGTGAGCAATTCGAGCTAGGTATTAGGAACTTTTGGCCTGACCCTGTAGAAGTAGATAATGTAGTAAAAGAATACTGACTTAGGAGTCTGAAGCTCTGGTTTCACATCTTGGTTGTCCTAGGTAAATTTCTTCATCTGAAAAATGAAAGTTTGTATGTATGGATTATTATCTGTCATACTTACAGTGTATGAATTCCCACCAGGTGTTTGATCCTGTTACCTACTTTCTAAGCCTCATTCATTGCTGTGCCCTAGGCCAGTGCTTCGCAAGAGCTCCATTTAG